CCGTGTGTGTGTGCAGGGCGAGAAGAGAGGCCTTGTCAGTCACACCCTGCAGCTGGCTGCCACGTGCAACCCATCCCCACTTTCCTCTTGATTTCTGGCTGCACCCCAGCAACAGCAGGCCCCCTGGCTTAGGAAGGCTGGGTGGTGCTGCCCAATGGGCATGGCACCCGAGAGACGATCTGCGGAGGACCCGGTTGTTAAAGCTGAGCAGGAGCCCAGGGACTTAGCAGCTACCTCAGTTCAGAATGGAAGAAGAGGCTGCTTTGAGAACCAACCTTTTCCATCCCAGCACAAGACTGACTGAACCCCTGGGCCGCTGGCGGTAGCCCCTGGGCCAGGTCAAAGGAAGAGGGGAAAACTCCCGCCTGTAACAGAACCCCAAGGAGCAGCTCTTGAATCGTGGAGGCCAGCTGCTCCCCCCCCCACAGGTCTGATGCTTAGCCTGGGGCCCTGGGAGCCCCCAGGAGGCTTGGCCAAAGGGGCCTCCTCTCCCCGCTTCCCCCGCCTCAGTGTAGCGACATCCCTGCGTAGGTAGGTAGGATTGGGGTTGCCCCCGCTCTTCTGAAGCCAGGAAAGCTCTACCGAACCCCCATTTAAAGGCAGCGTTTTATTTTTAAGGGATGCGGTGGCTGCTGGGCCCCCCCACAAAGCAGCCAAACCACCACAAACTCGCGAGGTCAGCAGACGCCTCTCAGCACCCCATCTGTACTCAGGAGGGGCCAGCGCGGCAATGCACCGCACTGGCGCTGCTGCATTTGTTCCTTTGACACGTGGCCCCCCCATGGGCACCACGTAGCCCCCAGGCATCCAGACCCTGAGAAGGGAAGGCCCAAAGGGAGAGGCCTTTCTGGCACAGAGTCCACTCAGTACCCATGCCTCTACTGGCCCCCTCCCTCCCCAAGTCCAGGCCTCTCTGCAAAGCTGCTCACAAGACCCCCGGCCGCTGGCCAACCCCCTCCTAAGCCCTCAAAGGGGAAACTGTGCTTCAGGAAAGAGGAAGAAAGCTCAAGCAAACGAGGACCTTCCCTCCGAAACAGAGGACCGTGAAGGTTACTTTGACGGGGTGGGGAAGGGAACAGGGGAGGTGCAGTCCCGTGCAGCATCCCTGCTCAAGCTGTTTGCTCCCTTCAAAGGGTGGATGCCAGTGAACCAACTCAACCCTGTCACACTCAGAGGGGTTGGGGGTGGCTGTGAGTCAGCAGAAAGAAAAGAACGAAAGAAGGAAGGAAGGAAGAAAGGAAGGAAGGAAGGAAGGAAGGAAGGAAGGAAGGAAGGAAGGAAG